CTGTAGAATACAAAATTTCAATTTTTGATACAGTTTCACTATTAGTATGTACTGGCAAACCAGTATTTGCTGAAGAAAATCATATTTCAAGGCAAGTCCTGAATGCTTACATCTCTGAAGTAAATGTTATAAAAATATAAACAAGAAATTAAATGCATGATAAAATAATTATGACATTTGAATAGTTTATATTGCCTTTATTCTCAAATTGTGTTTGATTTGGGCTGATAACTATAGAGTTTTATGAGCAGTTAGCAATAGGCTATGGCTATGGATAATAATGGTGATAACAATTACTATTGATGAAATGCTACCCTTTGAGAGATGACATTTATTGAACAATTAAAATACAGTTATAAAAGATAACACTTTTTATATGATAACCTTGAATAGAAGGAATGATACAGAATTCACTTACAAAAATGCACAGAATCTAGATGAAAATTTTTTAACATGCTACTGGTCTTAATATCTAATTGGTTAAGTTTCTCCCTATGCATCTGCCTTTGTCTTTCTTTTAAATAAACAACAATATAACAAAGCAAGTGTCAATGGCAAGTAGATGCAAAGTAACAATGGCTTTTGGGCCTGACTGGTGAAAAGCAACAGAACAATGAAGTAACTGGACATTTATTAGGGAGTTCTGAGAGGTGAGAGAGCAGCTGGGTTTTGCTGAATTCATGGATCCTGTGGGTTGACTGAAAGTAATCTGCATGTGCAAAAGGTAACAGAAAGGTACAGGCCACCTTCACATCATTGCTGGCAAACCCAGTGTATATGTGTGGACATTGTGAGGCAGATTGGGAGAAAGCAAAAGCTGGAGGAGATTTTAAAACCATTTTAAGTTTCTATTTGCTCTCCAGTTAACACATAGATCCCTCAGCATTGACTGGAAGTCTCACTATTGTAGCTCAAGGTATTGAATACAACCTCTGTTCAATTTTCTGAAAATTTTTTATTTTTCCTTTTTTGTGTGTGTGTAGAAGTGAAAGGGAACTGCTAAGCAAATAAAACCTTTCCTGTTTCCTGCTATAAAGTCACAGGCCTGGTGCAGTAAATAATGCAAAGTAAGTGTAAATGGCAAGTTTGCTTCCTTAATAAGCATATCTAAAGGTGACATTCTAACACAGTAGGACCATTGGCCAGGCTGATTGATCTCCCAGGCCATCCTTGGATATCTGCATTTCCCCCCCCTCTTTTGTCAAGAACTTTTGTACTTGCTGACTGATGTTATCAATGTAAGATGGTCATGTATAAAAGAGACCCTTTGTTTTTAGACCCATTCTCAGGCCTTATGGGGCTACCCAGGTCTGAGACCTCACACATGAGTAATAAAGCTTCTCCTGACTTCACCATTCCTGAAGTACTGCTTGTTCTTCCCTTGCCTGGGTAAAAGGCTAGAATTTATTTCTGCAACAGAACTGGGGTATAGGCCAGAGATTGGGGGTGAGGGGTATGTGTAAGAGGATTCATTCACCAGAGACAGAGTGGGGAACAGAATAGGCAGCTTTTACTGAAATACACTAAGGGGAGCAGCAGGAGAGACAGGAGAGGTCTGTTGTGCCATGTGGGTTAGCTCCCTGATTGGGGATCAAACTGGCCATAGTGGTGATAGTGCTGAGACTTAACCCCTAGGCTACCAGGGAGGCCCTGAAAATTTCTTTTTAAACTAGTACTGTTAGGGGGAAAAGGATGTCTAAATTATTTATATTACTTTAGATATAAATTTAGATACAAAATGGTGTATGTTTTTTACATATTCCTGTATGTCCGTGAAACATTGATTTTACTCCTATACTTGTTTTACTTCTAGATTTCTCCATTCCAGTTAGTGGTACTGTTATAGAGCAACTCCGATATTAAACGGGTTCCTGGCTGTGGGTCCTCACCCGCGCGCTTTTAAGGGACTTAATGAATACTCTACTACAGACACACACAAAAAGGTTAATAAAAAGTTTATTTACAAGAGGAAAGGAAATAAGGAAAATGTACAACTCAGGGAGAAAATAGGGAAATAAAGTCTTTAATGCGTCCTACCCAATCCGACGACCTGGAAACCCAAAGTCACTCTTAGAGCTGGCCGGACGCTGCGAGCTGGTGGAGAGCCAAAATGGGGTCCCCCAAAGCCCACGTGTCTGCCTTTTATATCCACCTGGCTGCTTAACCCCACCCTCAGGTCCCAGCCACCTTCCCTTTGGTGGTGATGGGATTTGGAGTTCCCAGTGTCTTTGGCTTTGACCTGGGGTGGGGGTGGAGTCCACAAAGCCTGTATGGGATTAGCTTTAGGACATCCTTTCCCCCCTAACAGTACTGTAACAGGGTGGTCCCCAGGAAAGGGGGAGGTTCCAGGTTCCCTGCCCCACCCAAATGGAGGGTGGAGCTGAGCAGGGAGAGAAGAAGCTGCAGAGGAGACTGAGAAGAAAGGAAGCAGGATGGAGATCCAGAAGGAGACCTGGAGGAAGTACATGGAGTGGAGAGACATGTGAAAAAACTACACTTGCCTTTTGGTCGTAGACTGGGTGACACAGATGTGGGTGATAGACCCACATCTGACCATGGTGGTTTTTGTCTTGATTTTGATTTTGCTCTTATCCTTCCAGACTTGTCTGGTGGTTTCTCATCCTTTTCTGTGGGTCCCCACTGGAAGATGCTTTAGACTTGTGGCAGGATTTGGGGTCTTGCTCTGGGCCAATCCTGCTTGGGTGGACTTTTACCCACGAGGGGACGGGTTACTTTGGGTACTTGATTTAGAAACTATATTCTTTGCCTTTTCTGTATTGTTTCCTAGTTGTATTAAAGTTCCTTCCCATTAAAGTCTCATATGTTCTGTGTTGATGCAGCGGATAGCAGAACCCATTTAGAACAGGCAGGTTTGCGGGGTCTGGGCTGCCCCTCTCCCTGCCCTGTAACAGTACCACTTCCTGCCAATCAATTAACTGACTTTGCTTTGCACATTACAGGAGTTCACTGATTGCTTAAAGAGATTAACCTTTCCCCTAATTAAGGAAATATAGTAAAAATGTCAAAGGTTTGTATTTTAAAGACAGGTTTCAATCTAGACTCCACCATCAAGTTTTTTAAAACCTTAACAAATCAATTACTCTTTTCTATAGAATCAGTTAGTTGTGCTTTGGAATCTTATCTATAAAACATTATAATGGATTTAGTTATTTAAATTCTCTTTTTACTTAATCTAGCATTGTTATAAGAAAGTAAAGTGGGCCTTCCTGGTGGCACAGGCGGTTGAACACTGCACTGTGAAGCTGTCTGCAGCCTCTTGGCCTGCCGGCGAGAATCCCACATAGCATGGCAGGCCTCTCCTGTCTCTCCCGCTGTTCCCCTCAGCAGCGTGTTTCATCAGTCTGCCTGCTCTGTTCCCCACTCTGTCTCTGGTGAGTCTGTTACAGGGCAGGGAGAGGGGCAGCCCAAACCCTGCAAACCTGCCTATTCTAAATGGGTTCTGCCATCTGCCGCATCAACACAAAACATATGAGACTTTAATGGGAAGGAACTTTAATACAACTAGGAAACAATACAGGAAAGGCAAAGAACCTAGTTTCTAAATCAAACACCCAAAGTTACCCATCCCCTCATGGGTAAAACTCCATCCAAATGGGACTGGCCCAGAGCAAGGCCCCAAAGCCTGCCACAAGTCTAAAGCATCTTCCAGTGGGGACCCACAGAAAAGGATCAGAAATAACCAGACAAGCCCAGAAGGAAAAGAGCAAAATCAAAATCAAGATAAAAGCTGCCACTGTCACCTCCCCACGGGTCTCACCCACATCTGTGTTACACAGTCCACAACCAAAAGACAAGTGCAGTTTCTTTACATGTCTCTAGGCTCCATGTGCCTCCTCTAGGTCTCCTTCTGGCTCCATCCTGCTTCCTTCCTCAGTCTCCTCTGCAGCTTCTTCTCTCCCTGCTCAGCTCCACCCTCCATTAGGGTAAGGCAGGGAACCTGGAACCTTTCCCTTTTCTGGGGACCACCCTGTTACAAATTCTACCCCAGTTCTTGTATAAAAATAAATAAAATCTTTTTAAAAAAAGTTATGTTTAAAAAAAGAAAGTAAAAGTCTATGTTTACATACTATTTGAGTTGTGTGAAGTTGAATAAAAAATGTTAAAGTTCTCATTTCCTAGGAGAGCATTAGAGTGAGTTACCGTGTCTTTGTAAATGCATACTTTGTTTTACATTTAAATTGTACTGTGTCATTTTTTCATGTTAGACTGTAGGTAAAGTATCAGGTTTTTACGCCCTCCCACCGTTAGATTAAACACATGCCTCATGGCGGGCCCCGGGAGTAGGGTGTGGGCATATGTAGGTAGGTACCCCTAGGCTAACACTGGGCTTATAAGGGTGGTGTCATGGGGATGCCACCAGAGCGAAAGGGAAGGAGAACAAGCCAGAGAGCAGTACAAGGCCACAAGAGAATGCTGGAGAGCTCAGGAAGAGTGAAGACTTGCTAGGGTTTGGGAGGCCTGCCATTCCCCGCCCCTCAAAAACCCTTCCCCCCGCCACACCCCTGCCTGCCATGTACCTGGTAATCTCAATAAAAGCCTGAAAAAGCTACTGAGGGCTCCAGGACTCCTCCTTCACCTGTCTGCACAGAATCATAAACCCTTCTCTGTGCCCTTCCTGCCGCTACATAGACAAATAAAGATGTACATGTGTTGCATTTCTTAAGGGCGATAGACCTCAGGATAAAGGGTTGGATTTCTGCTCCACTGCTTGTTCTATTTGCCTTTGAATAAGTTATTTATACTTTCTGAGACTCAGTTTTCTTTCTACTAAAATTTGCAAAATTCTATTTTATCATTTTACATTACAACATATATATACATTCAATGTGCTATAAATATATGCATACATGTATATATTTAATAGTGCTATTATTACTAAAGAATATTATTGTGTCAAAAAGAAATCTACTGAATTGGAGTCAATAAGTCTGAGAATGATTAATAACTTTTCCATAATAATGAATATATATTTTTCTCACCTGTAAATCAACTGAAGTAACAGTGCTACCCACTGTTCAGAAGGATTTAAGCATCAAAGGAAAATGAAGGGCCATAGGCTTGAACACAGTCAGAATATTGTGAAACATGTGACAACTTCGATGAGATTCAGATTCCTATGGTTACTGGCATGCAGTCCTCCTACTGGTAAGCAGAAAGATACACACAAGTCCTTCAGTGTATCTGACTTTCTTCTCATAATATACTTTTATAATTGTGAGTTTAATCAGATAACAGCATGATGCATTCACTAGATGAGATCAGGATGATGTATCATGTATCAAAGTCTGGAAAAACTGAGGAATTGAGGAAATCCAGCATGTTAAAACATGAAAAAGGGAAATTTTAGAGGAAATAGGCTATGCAGTAGATATTAGAGAATGAGGGCAATTGGAAATTTAGCAAGAAGAAAAAGAACATCACAATAACTTTGCAGAGTGCTGACAGGAACGATAGAAGCCACATCATAGCAAGATTAGACTGCAAGGCAGTGAAAGGGGATTTGGGTTAGGGAAAATTAATGTATTCAGGTAAATCCATAGTCAGGTGAAGCTTTCTAAGGCAATATTAAATATAAATATGAACTCATAAGAAAAATTATAGAAAAATCTGGAAAAAAAGTATCTTGAAGAAACATAACTATACAGAACTAATATAGCAGACTAAGGAGTATTTTAAAACTATAATGGACAAAACTCAAAGATAGCTAAGGATTTTTTCTACATCATACAAGAATTTTGGTGATTATGCAGAAATTCCCATTGAAAATCTAGTAATTGTATATATCAAAATGAATAGTAAAAATAAACACTCAAAAAATATGAGTACTATAATAGAAGATTTGATCTTGAATTCTCTAAAAGAATTAAGTGATAGAAAACAGGACAGTTAAAACCAAAGATATCAAAATCCTGATATTTATCTATTAGATTTCCAGAAGAAAGGAAGAACGAGAGAGAGAAGAAAATAGAAAATAGCTAAGAGAGAATTTCAAAATATATTGATAACTTTCCTGGACTAAAATATAATATTTATATTTTGAGGGCCCAATCACTGTATCCAGGATAAATTTAGTAAAAGAAATTGCAAAAACAGTCAGGATAACGGACTCACATGAGTAACACTCACACAAGTTATATCAGCATTGGAAGTTTTAACTATGTTGTACATCACTCCTGGGAGACAAAATCAGTGTTCAAAATTTACTATTCCTGTGTCTGAGTAAAGAGGTGGAAGGATTTATCTCATTTCACCTTTGGGGAAAAGCTTCTCTAGATGAACTTAGCAACTATAACAGAAGCCCACATTCTAGAACTCCAAAGTGGTCTGGACTCAGAACACATTATTATAATGTCCAAAAGATGTACATTCCAGTGTCTGGAAAGAGAAGTGACTCCTCAAAGTTCAGGAATTGAGAGGCAAAGCTAGAGCTGTAGACAAGTGTTGTCTAGAGGTACATCAGCCATTTATCAGATTGAATACAAGTTGCCAATATGATGCCACTTCATGCTAGACATCTAAAAAACACCATTCAACTATTAGAAGAAAAACTGGAAACTGGTATTAATATATTAGTATATCACTGCTATTAACACATTACCTCCAATGCATTGCAGTTTTGTTTAGTTAACATCTTTTCAATATGGAATAGTTTCTTGGCCTTTACTGACTTGCACAAATTTTATCCTTTGAAAATAACACTTTCACTATTTTGTAGATTATCTCTCAATTTAGAACTGTTCGATGCTTGCTCATAATTAAATTTAGATAATTCATTTGGGGCAGAAAAACCACAAGCTATTGTTAGCCACTGCAGCATGAGTTCGATCCCCAGCCCACCAGGGAGCAACCACATGGTGCAGCAGACCCTGACTCGCCCACTGCTCCCCTCAACAGTGTATTTCAGTCAGTCTGCCTGTTCTGTTCCCCACTCTGTCTCTGGTGAGTCCTCTCAGCCCCTGCATCTCTGTCCTATATCCAAGCTCTTGTATGCATAAATAAATATTTTATTAAAAAAACACAAAAACATAAGTTTATCCCATATCTCTTGCCAAGGTCAAAGAGAAGCTCATCCCCAGCAATGCTTCATTGCTTACCTTCCCTTACTTAGATCCTATATGAAACCTACCATGTATTCAAGCTAGAAATCATGAGAAAGGCCCAGATTTCTCATGTGAAATTATCACTGCTTCTTATACATAATTTCATAGAACTTTACATCAGATCTCCTGGCAGCCCTCATCATTTGCTGACCCAGGCTAAGAGTAGATCCTTCATAGACACCTGAGCAGATTTTATATACTGAGATTCTGGCTCTTGTGGGGTACATTGGGGCTGAGGTATATACTGCTGTCTCTTGTGCACCCACAAATCCAACCTTTCTTATTTCAGACAGCATTTTCTCAGATTGGCCCTTACCTACGAGCAAAGCCCATGACACTTGCCCAATACCCACCCATCCCCCTTTAGAAAATTTTCTTCATCTTACAGGGGCAAGGATTCTGAAATTTCTGCTCAACTGAAAAAGAAGCCCAGAACTCATAGGCAAAATGTCTGCTGGTATCTTGACAGGAGACGTTAATAAACACACATGAGTTTATAGCCATTCCCCAAAGTGACACAAATTTATACATTTATGAATAATATACCCATTTCTTGGAGTATTGTTATAAAGCAGGTATTTAATAAAAGTGTAGTAGTTTTCTTTCCTGACCCTTGAACAAAGCTTATATAGAATTGAATGTTTTCTGCTTTCTCTGAGAAATGTCTAATGAGAAGATACTTAGGAGAGGAAAAATGGTCCCTGTAAATCTGATACAGGGAAGCAAGGGGCATTAAAACTGGCCAAGGATGCTGCCCAAATAGTTTATCGGTCACTGTCTGAGTTCTTCAGTGCAGTTGCAAGACTACTCAGGTTCAGAGAACAATGATAATGGGATTTATTTAACAAACCAGGGAAAACCAAGAGTTACTGAGTCCACAAATGGCTGTTTACCTCACCTGAAGCAGTGTTCAGTGTTTTATTTTTTTATTTTTAAATTTTTCTTAAAGATTTATTTATTTTTATACAAGAACCAGGGTATAGGCCAGAGGCGTGGGAGGATGAGAGGATTCACCAGAGACAGAGCAGGGAACAGAACAGTCAGACTGACAAAATACACTGCTGAGGGGAGAAGCAGGCAAGACAGGAGAGGTCTGAGGCGCCATGTGGGATTCTCACTAGCAGGCCGGGATTGAACCCGCGCTGCAGAGGCTGCGGACAGCTTCACAGTGCGGCGCTCAACTGCTTACACCACCAGAGAGGCCCTGTTCAGTGTTTTAAAGTACTAAAAACAGGCTCCTAAGATTTAAACACCCCCCCACCCCCCCCCACCCCCCAATGCAGAAACAGAGAACGTGGCAGCCAGACAGTGAGCCAGGTTTCAACTCACAAAACAGCAGAAGACACAACAGGAGAAGCTCATGAAGCTGCCGAGATGCCCGGATGCAGCACCAGACAAGCAACACTCAAAACAGCAGCTGCAGCAGCCCAAGGACCCAACAAACAGCGACATTCATGGTCACACTTACGCAGCAACTCAGCAAGGTACCTGGCTCTGCGTCTTCGCCTTCCCTGCCAGGCTGTAACAGTAGCAAAACCGGAAACAGTTTTCATTTTGCTTGGCTAGTTGCAAAGGCTCCGAACTCCCCCTCTCTGGGTCTGGCTGCTGGAGGCCTCTCCATGTCCTTCAGAGGTTTGCAAAAGCCTTCTGGAAGACTGGCGTGGTTCGGACAGAAATCGCTGACCTCCCAATCACTGAAGATCTGAAAATGCTGAAATCCTGAAAGCTGAATCCCGAACACTGAATGCTCAGGGCTGCTTCTGCAGTCCCTTATATTTCTTATCAGAGTCTCCACCTGTTTGCATTTCCCTGGGCTAATTATCCAATAGTGTAAACAAGGCTTTAGTCACCCAAATAGTACTGATGGTGATAATTAGTGTAGTCACTTAAGGTGATTCTTTTTGTGAAAGGTTTATCAACTTAATCTGAATTTACCACTCATTCAAATGGTATATGGATCACAGGTGCCACGGTGGAGGGAGAATTAAGGGGACTATACTTGAGGGGGGAGATCAAATATTGTAAAAAAATGAACAGTGATGTAAGAAAATAAAAAATAAATTAATAAAAAATAATTTAAAAAAGATACATAAACAATTTTCCTGTTTGTGAATCCATGTTAATATAAATAAGCAAGGGAGAATATAGATGTCCAAACACTCAGTAATTCCCAGGTAGTTCAGATGTTGTGAGAAGTAACTACATAAGGAATTATAGGGACAAATACTTTATCTAGAAGGTTTTAATGCCAATCCAAATGTGCTATTTTTCTTAATTTTCCCCACCATAGACCACTGTTTTTTTGTCTTTTAAACTTTTAAAATAATTGATTAATTTTTTTTAAGATTTATTTATTTATTTATACAAGCACTGGGTACAGTCAGAAGCGCGGGAGGGTGAGAGAATTCACCAGGGCCAGAGCGGGGAGCAGAACAGGCAGATGGACGAAGTACACTGCTGAGGGGAGCAGCAGGCTGCAAAAGAGGTCTGCGGGCCATGTGGGACCCTCGCCAGAGTGGCCAGGGATCGAACTGGTGCTGCAGAGGCTGCGGGCAGCTTCGCAACCCAGCGCTCAATCGCTGCACAACCGGGGAGGCCCTAAAATAATTGATTAATTTTTAATTGAGGTAATATTGGGATATCCCCACCAGGAGATTCTTGACTATGTTCATTTTGGTTTCCTGCTAGACACCTGTTTTTGTTAACTACACTCCTTTTGCTGCAAGTCCCGTCTTTCCTGAGGCCCAGTAGCATTAATATCCTGGGGTTCATGAGACATCTTTACATGGTTATAATACATTCTTACTGTTTAACAGGATTTGAGTGAGCATCTGCTAACCTGAAAGAAAAAGTGTTGTATCTAATGTACATAATTTTTCTTTGGTACAGTAAGAACAATCACCCAGGAACTCTGATTCTTGCTCCCCAACTCTATGTAACTCATGTATCTTTCTTCTCTTAATCTCTTCCTTCCTCTCTCCATGTTAATAATTGTTATAATTCTAGGAAATCTTAATGTTCATGTACCTTTCTAGGAGTAAAATCACAGTCACTATGATTACCAGGAGACCCTTAACAAGTGCCCTTCACCTCTGTTCAGCTTTAGCTACACACATTCATCTTGGAGTTAAGATTAACAACTTAACTATGAAGTTTTGACTTCCAATAATACTTTCACACCACAATCTCACACCTGCCCATGTGCTTTGTACCATTTCTACTGCTTTTGATTTCTTAGTAAATTCTAAGCCCTAAAGGGCTTGGAAATTAGACATTGGAATTAGACATATTTGGTGTTTAATCCTAGGTCCAAATGAAATAATCCTGCAAACAAATTTATTGAATCTCCCAAGGCTAACATGACTCAGCTGAACAAAAGGAAGAACACAAACCTCTGAAGTTGGAATGAATATTTGGATAGCTGATGCTTTATGCAGTTCCTGGCACAGAGCAGACATTGACTAGATGTTAACTATGTGATTTTTATATTGTTATTACCCTTCAGTCCTTCAAAGTTCTCCTGGGTTTTCCTCTTTCCCTAGCCAATAATGGATATACAAGTCATGCAATAACTCATATTCTTAACATCCACTCTTTTGAAATTCTGATCTTCTATTACAATTATTAGAGAAGGTACAAACACAATAAACTTTCCAACTTGTTTTCTCCTTTTCATTTTTTTTTTCCAAAGAAAATTGAGATAGGCAACCCCTGCATGTTCAAGATCACCAGATTCAGCTTGGTCTTGAGAATTAACTTTAATCTTTTCACTTGATCACTCCCTCCCATCATTGTTCTCAGTTTCTATGTGAATTGTTTACAGCAGTTGGCCCTTGAGGAACATAAAACTGTATGGGTCCATTTGTATGGATAATTTATTTTTTCTATTAGAAGGTCCACATTCATGGATTTGCCAGCTGGAGATATTGACTGGTTGCATCTGGGGATGCACATGCAGCTAAGAATTCTGACTAGAAGTGACTCCAGCATTGGTGGAGTTCAGTATTCATGTGGTCTTGAAACCAGTCCCTTATGTTTACCAAGGGAGAACTTTAGCTAAACTTATCGAAGTCAAAAGTTATATGCAGATTTTCAACTGCTGAGGATCAGCAACCCTAATCCTCCTATCCAAGGGTCATTCCTTCAGTAGTCCTGTACATTCCTTCAGGAGTTTACCC